CTTATGGCAGCCCTAGCGGCAGCGCCAATTTATGGCAGCTCCCTAGCGGCAGCGCGAAGTTAGGGTTAGGGGTTAGGGTTAGGGGGGGGTAGGTGGTTAGGGGTTAGGGGTTAGGGGTTAGGGGTTAGGGGTTAGGGGCTAGGGGTTAGGGGTTAGGGGTTAGGGGTTAGGGGTTAGGGGTTAGGGGTTATTAGGGGTTAGGTGGGCGGATGCGTCAGACGTATGCGTAATACGTGAGGCGTAACCCTTGCTGGCCGCCACTTCTCAGTCAAATCCGTCGTGCGTGTGCGTAATACGTGGGACGTAAGCTCCCCCCGACACCCATGGCGACCGATGCGTCAGACGTATGCGTAATACGTGAGGCGTAACCCTTGCTGGCCGCCACTTCTCAGTCAAATCCGTCGTGCGTGTGCGTAATACGTGGGACGTAAGCTCCCCCCGGACACCCATGGCGAGCGATGCATCAGACGTGTGCGTAATACATGAGGCGTAATCCCCTCTCCGCCGCCGTTCACGGTCGAGAGCGTAGTGCATGTGCGTAATGCGTCGGTCATAGGCCCACCCAGCCCCGATTTACGATCCCACTGCGTAAGACGTGTGCGTAATACACCGTGCGTAGCGCCCCGAGAGAGCCTCTCTGGCAAAGCTTACATAAAACAGATGCGTGGTGCGTGGTGCGTAGCGGCCAGAAGGTCGGTGGTAACGATCGGTGCAGAAGACGTGCGCATAATACGCAGCACATCTGAAATCACCGATCGGGCTTTCTGTCTGTACGCGTGAAGCGAGGCGTATGCGTGACGCATCACTGAGCCGCCACCCGGCTTGACACGGCACCAAAATACACGACGTCTCAGCGACGTCCTACGAACCGTGGCCATGGATGTGCATAAGGTGGCCAACAATTGCATTAGTGGCTCTTACATATCCATAGCGGGCTCTGGGCCGGCGCGGGGCCCCCCGGAGGCACCGTGCGCCGCGGCCGCCGCAGTGCGGAAACGGGGCTCCGGCGCTCAGAGTCGCTCAGAGCACCGACTTCCCGATTAAGTACGGTTAAGTAGAGGGCAGATTTGGAAAGATCTCGAGGAGTACATACAGATAGACCCTCCAACCATCAGAAAACTCCGACCTGATCGGTCGTACTGACCGCCGACAGATCACTCCAGACAGCAGACAGGCCGACGTCTGCACGCGGCCGGCCGGGCGAGAGGCTTGACACGATCCGACCCTGCGACCCTGACGCTGCTGCTCTAGCTATCAGCCATGCACTGCTGACTGCTGCCACAATGTGCGACCTGTGCTGGCCCACTTGGCGGCCTTCCCGGTCAGTGGTGAGGCGCAGTTCAGAGCTGTCGATGGCGCGATGCCGCACTGGTCCCACATTGGTGACACGAGACCACCACGTTTGCCGGTCCAAGAGAGAGGCACCGGCGCTGTCCTGAGAAGGTGCGTGGTCCCTCTTGACTGCCCATGCGCGCGAGGCTGTGTAGGCATAGCCTCGAGAGTGCCAGCAGCCAATCCGAGGTGACGCGCATTGCGCCAGAAGCGTGCACGCAGCTGGAAGGACACCTTCCTACTGGCCGATCGGTCGTCACTGAATGCTTGATACTAAGGCCGCGAGCTATGCATGTGATCAATTGTGCAGCATGGCACGGTCAGCAGCGCCGACAGGCTGTCGCAAGGCGTGATAGCATGGCCGCAAGTACGCCGAATTCCCATGAAAACAAGTAAATAATCGCGAAAAAAGAAAAATAGCCAAAAAATCGCTGCGGCGGGCCATGGGACCCCATCTCCCCCCCGCATGGACACCCTCTGGGGCCCCCGCGCCGGCCCAGAGATAGCGGGACCGATCACCTCCCAGCGCGCAGTGCACGGTGCGGCTGGGCCTTGGTCCGTTTACCCCACTCATAAGGCCCTTTTCTGCGCTACAATGTGCGCTCCGCGCCCCTAGCACCGCGCCGTCTCCCCCGCCGTGACCGCGCCACATGTCACCTCGCACTGCCGCGCGCGGTTTCCCTGGTCCGCCTCCCCCCCGGCCACTCGGCTCTACGCGCCCGGCGGGCTCGGCCTCGCAACTGTGTGTGTGCGGTGAGCCGCCCCACCGTCGGGCGCGATCGGCCTTTGCGGCGCACAGGATGGTACTTCCCGATTTATGTGGCGCATAACGCCGCCCCCCCAACCCTCAACGCCCTCATGGCAAGCACTACGCCAATTATTTAGTGACAGAAAAATCGGTATCTCACGGAATCCAACCAAACCCGCCGCAGGTCCGGGCGGGGCCGAAAACGGCTTTTGCTGCCAGAGAGCTACAACGTCGAGAAGGTCGTCTCGTGGCGGCAGAGAGCTGGGGGGATCGAGCTTCTGACCGCCTGGGAAGACTACGATGTCGATGGTTGGACGTGGGAGCCCCTCGACAACATCCCCAAGCGGTTTGTTCGGGCCTTTCATGCGCAGCGCGAACGTCTCCCGCAATCCTTTTTCTACGTCGTGACCAAGATGCGCGACCGGGTCGCCTTCAAGCTGCTCGAGAGGACCGGCCCGATGTTTGGGGTTGCTGTCCTGGTCGAGGAGGCCTCCCTGCGCAAGTAAGCGCTCGCGATGCTGCAGTACTTCTCTACGCCTCCGAGCGGCACAAAGGCCAAGATTGCGGTCAAGGAGGACCACTGGCAGCGGGCGCACACACTCACCATCACCTCGCAGGAGCACGCCGCGTGGATCGTGTCGCTGCACGAGTCGCGGCCTACCCACGGCGTCGGCGCGCTCCGCATCAAGAGCGCGCGACGCCTCTCCAACATGCTGCTCGTCGCGTGCAATGCTCGCACGCCGATGCGCCTCTCCTTTGTGGAGCCGCGCGCGGGCGGCTCCGACGCGCCTGCCCCCGGCTCCTACAAGTTCACGGTCGAGTTCACCACCGTGGGCATCAACTCGGCGACGGGCGACATCATGCCGTACACGGCGCCGACGGAGGAGCTGCGCCTCGAGATGGCAGAGGCGCACGCGCTGGTTGCGTACTCAAAGAAGACGCTCAAGCAGCCGTGGGCGGCGGAGCCTGTCCGGCACAGCCTGCGCGCTAGCGGCTGGTGCGACCAGCCGGTGGCGTTTCAGTAGAATCCGTCCGTACCGGCACAGTCTAGCGCGTGCGTGTGCCCCCACCCACACACGCGCGCGGCCCGCGCTGGTTCCCGCTGTGCCCTGTTTGCGGAGCTCCTGGCGCGAGTGCACACTGTCCCGGGTGTCCAGCTGATGTCGTGTCACGCTTGTGGTTGGTTTATTAAAGGTAATACTACACAAACCGTCCCTGGGACTGAACAGGAGGCGAGAGGCGCGCGCGCGTGAGCAGCTGCTCGGAGTTGTGTGTTGTGTGTGTGTTCTCGCTCGAGTTCACCAGACAAGCCGAGCGTATCGTGCGAAGATGCTCGCGCAGAACGCTGGAGCACCCAAAACGCGGAGCGCCCACGGCTGCTGTTCCGCACAGCGCTTTCCGACGGCATGTTTTGCCTAGAGGCGGGCGGTGGGGTGCAGCTCGCGTGCGGTCGCTGTCACCGCCCTGCCGAGCCAAGCCGTCTGAGGTCGGCAGCGCGAGTTGGCTGGCGTCGCAGAGCGCCTCGCCGGCCGCGCACATCATTTGTGCTCGCACTTGGGGCGAAACAACCCGCTCCCAATACAGTGCCGCGTAGATCTGCGCCCGCCGCTCGATATGGCCCATCCGGGCGCTGCGCCAGCAGGCGGCGACCTGCGGAAGTGAGTGGCCGAGAGATTCCGGTGCTCACCCGCGGCGTGTGCCTACTCACTCAGGCTTCACTCGGCCCAGATCTGGTATGAAAGGACCACATTGGGGCTTGGCCGGAGCCGGGACGACTGTCAAATAGGCCCGCCATTGACGCGGGTATTTTGCCCCTCTCGTTTCCGCACCGTGTGCTGCGGCGGGCCCTCCGCTCCCTACTCTACACCACCGGCTAGGCCCGACTCACCCTTAGGGGATGTCCGGGTCCGTCATTACTTTCTTTTTACTTACTCTAGCTGTCGCATAAAAACGTCCCTAATTTTCGATTGCGTCGTGTGTGTCCGAGGCGTCGTCCTCAGGGGCGGCGGCGAGGGGCAGGAGTGGTGTTCCGGCGGCGCGCGGCGCTGGCGAGCGATGTGGTGCGAGAAGCTGGTGGCTGGTGCGGGGATGAGCCTCCGCGCGCGGCGCAGTCTCCGCGGCGCAGAGAGGGGCGCGAACTCGGTGCCGCGGCCTGTCATATAGTGAACTGCCGCCGCGGCCCCCGTGCGCGGCGACTCGAGCCCCCACCTCCTGAGGCCTCGGCTCAGCTCGAGGCCGCTGCGCCGCCGGCGCTCAGCGGAGGGATAGTCGCGCGCACGTCGCTCAGGACGAAGCCCGTCCTCAACCCTTGCGCCTTGCGCGTGAACTTTTCGGCTGC